CTAAAAAAACAGTGAAAATGGCATTTCGGAGGCTGGTAGGCACTCCCAAGCACAGAGCCCCTCAGACTGTGCCCAGGATGTCTCTGGAATCCTGGGCTGCTGCCCTCCGGAGCTAGACCCTCCCAAGACAGTGTACACGACAGGCAGCTGAGGGACGCCAGAAGAGCGCACTCTCTTCACGCCCAGAGGCCCAGGGGGATCTAGCAAGGGAGAACGCTGACAAAGGTTTTCTCCCTCTAGGAGGGGCGGTGCGTCTGAGCTGAGCACAAAAATTCCAAGTGGTGGCCAAAGGGAGGCTAAGCCAGCCGAGGCTGTCCTGAAGAGAGGGCAATGTGTGGGACTTTTTTGGAAAATGGCTTTGGAGCGCTTGCTGCCTGAAGAAGCCCGCCGAAGGCGGGACTGTGGGTGGCAATTGTCAGGAGGAATCGGCCGCATCACTGGGCCACTACAGAGAGGGGTCTCTGTCCTCTGCACCAGCAGGTGGCCAGTGGTTCAGGCTCTGAGGTCAGACTGCAGAGACCCCTCCCCACCCCACAATCTCACACAAGTCCCCTCCTCAGTGCCTCGGGTTCTGTACTGGCAGACTGTGTGGGAGGTGGCAGTGAAGTAGCGTGTGGGGTGCTCTGTCTGGCACTGTCATGGCCACCTCATCAAAAGGATATGCTTGAGACTTTCTGCTCCCAGCCCCCACCTCAGAATCTGGATGGAGCCAGCGTTACTCTCAATGCCATCTGGAGCTTGGTGGACGTGTGATCGGAGTCCCATAGGAGTACTCTACCCTGAATTCAGGGCCAGCCTATAATGTGCTGAGCCCAAGTGTCTCCAAAAGAAATAAAACTAAACAAAGCAAAACCAAGCTCCCCTCAGGTGGGGCTTTACCTCCTGCAGCCCCTCAGCTCTCTGCCAGCACTGCTGTCTGCTACCCCTGTAGGATGACGCGCTATGACACTTCCTTGAGGCCAGGCATAGCGGGCAGCCGTGAGGCTGCCGAGCACAGCCCTGCGGGAGGACCTGGCCGTCTCTAACCACAGCCCATCAGCCAGCCGGCAGTCAGGACAGGGCCAGTAACAAGGAGATGGCCAGCAATCACGGCTCTGCAGTCACCGTTCAGATGAGACAACTAGGGCCACAGGAGTCCCACAGACTCTTCCGCAGCCTGAGACAACAGGAACTGTCAGGCCTTCCTTGCATTCGGTCTCTTTCTAGACTGAAAGCTTTGCCTGGACAGTGCATGGCGCTGGGGCCTGCCACGGCCGGGCACAGGAGTGCATGGGTGTACTCACGGGGGCCCCAGCTGCGCCCCCTGGTGAGGAAGCCTTTCAGACACCCTCCAGCCCTGCTCAGCAATGATCAGAAGGGGAGGAAAGGAGCCTTCATCGGGAGAGAAGAGCAAAGCTCACCTGAGAGGCAAAGCCTTCCTGGGGCATCAATGTGGCCCAGGTTAAAGATGGAGGAACAGGAGGGAGCGAGTGAGAAGGCACTGGCCACGGGCAGTAAGGCAACAGGGCTGGGTCAGGGCTGCAGGGCCAAGGACAAGGAGAGTGTGAGCTGCTCTGGAGCCAGAATTAGTGCTAGAAATGTGGAACGGAGCAGCAGGCCAGGTGCCAACGGCTCTGGGTCCCCTTGCTTCGGTCCCAGATAGCGAGCTGCCTGCCTGTATCACTGGATACAGACCTGAAGCTGTCGCTGCCCAGATTTGTCCCTTCCCCAGGGCAGCTCCTGCATGGAACTGCTTTGAAGCTTTCTCTTGTGGGTGCCTCACCTGCCAGGAGGGAGGACAGGTCCCCCGCACAGCTGCAGACCCCTAGAGGCAAGAACGTCCCTTGGCTAGGAGCCTGGACTGACCCTGGCCGACCCTTCTCACAGATCTGGTTGCCCCCTAATCAGAAACAGTCTGCACAATTTCCCCAGCTCTGCAAGGCCCACAGAGCCGTGCAGGCACCGGAAGTCGGGGGACAGCAGGAATCTAATTTGCCAAAGGGCTCTGGACCCACGGGAATCAGATGTTTCTTGGTGCAAAACAAGCTCTGTCTGGGACCTCGGGGCAGCTCTGATGGCACAACTGGTAGGGAGGGCTGGGCAGGCGGAGGCCCTGCTTTGGCCCCTGGCCCATTCCAACCAGAGAATTAGCAAGCAGTTGGCTCTTGTCCTGAGTGGCTTCCCTGTCCCTCTGGGCCCTCCACACAACTCTGTGACCCTGGGGATGCTGCTGCTTTTGCTTTGGGAGGGGGCTGAGTCACCCATCTTGTGCTGTTTTTCAGATGGCCTTTGCAACCTAGATTTAAAAACTGGGAAGGGCCAGCCTGATAGCTCAGCAGACTAAAGTGCCTGCTTAGGCAGAGCGCAGTGGCCGGGGTTCGATCCCTGGAGTGCTGTGCCAGCCCCACCCCTGGGGCATGCTGAGATGGTGATTGAGACTGGGCATGGTGGTGTGTGCCTGTAATCCCAGCACTTGGTAGGCTGAAAACAGGAGAATCACTACAAGTCTGATTTACGTAGTGAGACCCTATAGACCCTGCCCTAAATACAGAAAAAAAAAAAAAAAAACCCAAAAAACAAAAAAAACCTGGGAGATTCCACCCCAAAATATAAGCACTTATACTACTGAGTCATCTCCCCAGCCCTGAGAAGGGACTTCTTTACTGATGTACCCATCGATGCAGACACATGTTGAGGCCTCTATTCTGGTTATGGATTTCTTTTCTTTTTCTTTTTCTTTTTTTGGCAGAACCGGGGCTTGAACTCAGCCCCTTGAGCTTGCCAGGGAAGCGCTTATTCTACTGAGCCATCTCCCCGGCTCCCTGGTTATGGATTTCTGATTTCACTTAAAAATCTGATTGGGTGTGGTGTGCTCACTTACTATCCCAGCATTTGGGGAGGCTGAGGCAGGGGCACTGCAAGTAGGCAACTCCGTGAAACGCACTAGAGCTCAGTAGTAGAGCATGCCTAGGTTCCATGCCTAGAAGGGGAGGACACACACAGACACCCCCCACACCCACCCCAGGGTCTGGTCCCTGGAGTGTTCAGGTGAGGCCAGCCACTTGCCTAATAGTACCACTAGCGCACGACCCTACCTCCTGGACGTTCTCCTTCCCCTAGGACCTCCCACCCCGCCCCACCCCCGCACTGTTTCCTACCTGCGCTTCCCCAGCTTTTCATTGCTGCCCCCTGCATGCAGTCCAAGCCCTACTGTGGTTGGGGGCCCTGCAGCGCCCGCATCTGGGGCTACTCCTGCTCTGCTCACTGTGCTCCACGTTCTGGCCCTTGCTCTCTTTGCGGGCACAGCTGGCCCCTTTCTACCTCAGGGCCTTAGCACGTAGGTAGTAGGGCACACCGCACCCCACCGCCCCAGGGCCCCTTTCTCATGACTGGGTTCCAGCACACACCTGGCTTCTCTGCAGGCCCTCTGCCCTGGTCACTGTGTTCCACCACCTGTTTCTGCCCCTGTGAGCTCACAGTGCGCTGCCGCCTGACTGCCCCCAGCCCGCCTGGGCTCCCTTGTGTGGTGGTAGCAGGGTCTCACCTGGCCACTGCAAGGGCGGCGGTGAGGTTGTGCCCTGGTGCTCAGGCCTGTACCTCCTCTCCTCCAGGCCCCATACTTGGGAACACCAGGATTTGCTACCTCCTCAGCCCCACAAATGCTGACCAGCTAAACTGGGCCTTGGTGATAAACAGGCCACAGTTGTACCCTGGGATCTTGCTGACCCTCCTGCAGGACTCTCACAGAGCCCCATGGGGGCCCAGGGCGCTGGCCTCCACCTTCTGTTGCCTCCTGCTGGACGGCTTGGGGGGGCCAAGTGTCCTTCGCCTGCCCAGGACTGCCTGCATGGGGTGGCGATGGGGTCTGCATGCTGCGGCTCAGCAAGGGCCCCAGAGCCCCAGAGCTCAGCCTTTGCATCCTTCTGGGGATGCCACAGGGCCAGGGATCAGCAGGCTGGATTTGCCTATGAAGAAACATTCACCACTGAGTGCTGTGAATCCTGTGGTCCATTTGTATAGCTCTGTTTTTTGTTTTTTCCTGAGCTTTGTAGTTTTTAAGTGTTTTGTCTTTACTTTCTCAGGAACCGTTTTCTAATAAAAACCAGGCCCGAGCCCCCACAGGCCGGCACAGCCTCCGGGGCCGCGCTGGGTGCTAGCACGTTGCACCAGGGCTCCTTCCTACTTGACAGCCCGTCAGCCCACACTACGCTCCTTGTGCTGCACACAAGCAGCTGCCCGAGGAGCAGCCCGGTGGGAGTGGAGGGGCCTCAGTCCGTGCGTGCTTCTTTGCTCCCCACCTTCTAGCTAGAAGAGGCTCCACCTGGCCTGGTGCCTTCAGCCTCCTGGTCCAGGGTCAGCGGTGGGCGAGGGGCACTTGGCCCTCAGCCGCCTAGATCAGCCAGGCCCAGTGCCCTGCTGCAGCACACAGGAGCCCGGACCTCATCTGACATGACAGAAGCGCCATGCCCTCTGCCGGGGCCTCGCCTCCAAAGCTAGCTCCACCTGACGGCCCAGCCTGCTGCCCTGAGGCCCAAACTCCAGGACCTGACAACCAGTGATGACCCCAAGTGCCTTTACCTGCAGGGCTCAGCTGCAACAGGCTTGGTCCCAGCCTGGTCTGCCCTTCACTTGGCACAGCCGTGAACAGACAGCTCAGGGGGAGGCTGGCACGTGGCCTGGATAGGCCTCAAGCCCCTTTTACAGAAGGGGGTGTGGAGAGTAGGCTCCTCTCTTCCTGGCCCCAGGAAACCAACCCCAGCAAGGCCGACAGCTCCTGGCCACCACTGGCTCCACCTTATCTCCACGTAGAAGCATGAGAAACACCAGTGGCCTAGTGCGGCTGGCGAGAGGAGGAGCCGGGAGGATTTCCATGCAGAACCGGCGGCAGAGGCACAAATCAGCCACTCAAGGCCCCCTCAAATCCCTGCCAGACCCTAGGGCCCTTGGACGCAGCAGGCAGGGGTTTCCAGGGGTGTCTGTGCCCGGAGCGGAGCTGGGTCCAGTCATAACGGCCTACTCACCATTGGAGCGGTGGATACAGGTGTGCTGGTTGTCACTGAGGAAAAAGCCACTGTGGCACTGACACTCATAGCTGCCCATGGTGTTGACACAGATCTGCTGGCAGCCACCGTTGTTGTCCTGGCATTCATCCACGTCTGGGAGAAGACAAAGGGAAGGGGAGAAGAAGGGTTATGTCTGGAGCTGGTGGGACACGGCCGACACTTCTCTGGACCACACAGGAGGGACGCCTTGGAGAGGTTCCCTGGCACTCAGCTACAGTGGCACTGCAGGGATGTACTCCATGCCTCACAGCAGCACTGCAGTGCTGTGCGCAGTGCTAGACGCTGGTGGAACACTACAGTGGTGTCCACAGATGTACTCCATGGTGGCCCTCCACAGAAGTACTCCGTGGACGTACTCCATGGTGGCACAGAAGTGCTCTGTTATACTCCACAGAAAGTGCTTCATGGCATTTCATGGTCCCCCATGGCCATACTCCACGGGTACTCTATGGTAGTGCTCCATAGAAGTACTCCATGGTACCCCATGGTGGCATACCACAGAATACTCCATGGATACAGTCCACGGAGGTACTCCACAGGAAGTACTCCACACTGCTCCATAGTATTCCACAGTGGTACTCCCTAGAAATACTCTATGGTACTCTGAGGCAGTACATCTCAGAAGGACTCCCTGGATGTACTCCATGGCAGAACTCCACAGATGGTTGTACTCCACAGGGTACAGAAGCAGTCCGCTACTCTGCCGTGGTGCTCCACAGAAGTGCTCCATGGTGACACTCTACAACGGCACTCCTCGGGATGACTTCCCAGAAATAGCCAGTTCCAACAGCAGTGAGGCTGGCTGGCCGTGGCTGCCCTCCGTGCACTCTGCGAAGTTCTAGGTACCCTCCCTGCAAGTTAGGTCCTTGAGTCTTCACAGCCACCCTATCAGTCAGATCCTGGTATTTGTCCACTTATAGGCAAGGAAACCAAGGGACAGAGAGACAAAGTCAGTGTCCAAGTTCCCACGAGTGGCAGGTGGCAGAGGCGGACTCAAGCCTGGAGGGCTGACTTCCAAACCCAGGCTCTTCCCCGCATGATCAGACCCGTCTCTAGGAAGACAGAGCAGCCCACACCCTCTCCCCTAACAGAGAGCCTGGTCAGCCACAGCCCAGCACTACACGGAACCTAGAGCCACGTGGAGCCATGTGGGGCAGGGTCCAGGGCGGCTTGTGCCACCGAGGCCATGGGCTCTGCAGATGGATTTCAAAAGCCTGGCGGGTGGAGAGGATTTCTCGAGCTCTGACCTCTGGCTGCCAGGCCTGCCAGGAAGGCTGCCAAGAGTCTTCCCCACTCCCCAGGGCCGGCTTGTTCCTGGCTGCTGACACAAAGGGTGCGCTGGCTGCAGAGTCTTTATGGAGTTCTGGTCCTGAACAGAACAGCATGTTTCAATTACCCAAAGCCATAACCCCCTACTCTGTCAGTTTGTTTAATGAAAGAAGGGCTTCTTAAACCTTAATGTCCCATGCTGTATTGTCATTTTAATAGGCAAATATATAAAACCACAAAAGCAACGTGAGCTACTGGCTGCTTCGAGCTGATCCCCCAACACACACACACACACACACACACACACACACACACACACTTGCACACACGCACATGCACACATATGCACACACACATGAATGCACTTTGGCACTGAGAATTTCATATAGTCTGTTCACTATGAGGACCTGAAAGGTACGAGCAGGCTAAGAGCAGGCAGTGCCCTGCGCTGAATCAGGTGACAGCTGCACCCTGCAGTCATGTCAGCTGGGTCCTATTTAGGCTCAGGACAGCAGCCCCCTCTCCCCAGGGGGCCACAGCTGCTCTGAGGCCTGTGGCGAAGTGCTTCATTATTGTTCGGCAAGCTCAGATGTGAGTGTGTGGCAGTCGAGGAGGGAGGTGGAGCTCTGAACTCTAAAGGCCACCAGTGGCTACTGCTCCTGTGGAAAGGTGGCTCTTGCCACCTTTGCTGTGAACAGCCTGTATTAGTTACTCTTCTCTTGTTGCTGGGACAAATACCTGACACTCAAAATGAGGGAAAGAAAGGTTTATTTAGCTCACAGTTACTGGAGGTTTGAAGACACTGGAGGAGGGGCTGGGGCGCTGCCGTGTCCAGGACGACCTTCTCCACATCTCTAAGGGAGTCTGCTGCCTTGGCGGGCAGCGCGGGCTGTCAGTTTAACAGTTCCTGCCTCTCTAGCCCTGCCCCCTGAGCTCCGCCCTGGTCCTCCAGCCCTGTCCCTCAAGCCACTCACTGCTCCTTGAGCTGCATGTGCCCCATGACTTACATGGGGGACAACCAGACACAAACCATAGACAGTCCTAGGATCAGTCCCAGAGCCCGAGGGTCTGGCTCAGGGAGCCAGAAGGAAGGGCAGGGATTATGACTCGGAATACCTTTCTCCTGGAAGTCTTGCCGGTGGCTACTGGCAGGCTCCATGGGGTCACCTTTGCTGGGGACAGCGTCTGTTCCAGTGAATGGCTCAGGGCCAGGCACTGTGTCTTCCTCACCTACCCCCTCACTACTGTGAGGCTGCGAAGGCCCTACGGTTTAGTATGAGGCCCTCTGTGGCCCGGGTGACAAACGGCGATGCCCTGAGCCTTTGGAAGCAGGAGTGGCCCGAGCACAGTCGCATGAGGTGAGGTCCAGCTCCAGAGCTTGAGCCTCAGCCCCTGCGGCTGAGCTGGAAGTGGTACAAGTGTGTTCAGACCGATGTCATGAAAACCCGCCCTCCTGCTGAGAGCTCAGTGTGGAATCCGGTTTGTGTGTGCGCTGTGAGCCCCAGCTGAGCCAGAGCCCATCTCTGTCCGGAGCGACTGCGAGGTGCCTGCGGAGGTCCTGGATGCGCCTGACAGGGAGAACTCACTGACAGCCAGTCTGGGGCATGGCCAGCTGCTGCCCTGTTCCCTTGGTCCTCAGTTGCCCTGTGTTGAGGTCCCCAAGGCCCAAGGAAAGATTCAAATGGTGAGGCAAACAGGACAGAGCTGGGCCCACAGCATGGGCCCAAGGCGTAGGCCCAGTGCCACCCATCTGCAGCCATCTGGCCTGGCCTGGCCACACTTCGCCCAAGGCTAGGAGCCCAAGGGCAGCTGATGTCACACACGCACAAGCCCTCAGTGACCTGGCAGGGTGGCCGGGTGCTGTGACAGGGATGTTTACATGAGTGAGGAATAACAATCACTCGCCAATGCTGATGAATAATTTGAAACAAATGCAGGGCCGTGTAAACACCGCCTTTCCTCACCCCAAACCACTAACCCGGGATTATGCTGTAAGAGGGGGCTGCCCTCTGTGTTCCCCAGTGTCCCACCACGGCCTGGCCTCCACTCCAGAGTAGGGCAGACACCCTGCACCCCGAGTCTCCAGTGTCCAACAGGGCCATGGGTGTGTGTGTGGAGGGCAGATGGCCACTGTCCTACAGGCAAGGACAGACTGGGTTTCTTCTCCCTACAAGTGGGTGAGCCCAGCACTCTGCTTCACAGACTCTGGCCCTCGGCACATTCTGTTCCAGGCATTTCATGGTACTCCTTGGCCTGCTGGGAGGACAGGTGGTACCCTGCGGCAGGCAGGGAGCCCATCCAGGCCTGATCTGCAGGGTGGACTATTAGGGGCCACGGCTGTCCTCTAGGGGGTCTTCATGCTGCTGCATGAGTGGGCCCGGCCCCCTCTCAAGGTCACTGTTCTAGGAGACAGGAGGCCAGGCCGGGCCAGAGACGAGCATGGAGTTGGCTGGATGCACCGGTGGTCTTGTGAACTGCTGCTGCGAGACCCCAGCTCAGGGGTTAGGCATCTGCTCCGTAGATCCATACAGAACCTGAGCTGCTACTGGAGCGCGCCTGGCTGTGGCGTCCCCACTCTCCCTGAGCTCAGCAACCAGAGCTCAGGGAAGGCAGGCTGCCTGGAGCAGGTGACGCGGGCTTTGGGACAAGCTGAGCAGGCAGACCTGTGACCTGAGTCGGAGGAGGATAAGGTACTGGGAAGCGGCTGGCAGGAGTAGCGGGCAGAGATAGGGGTGGCTGACGGGCGCAGCAACTCCACCCCAAGGCCTGGGCTGCACCGCGCCTGCGTGCAGTGAGGGGCCTGACCGGCTGGTTTCCAGGACCAGGTCCAGGACCCCTGCGCGGGCTCGGGGGCGGGGGGAGCCATTCCTGCCTCCTGGTCCTGCCCACATCTCACAGGCCTTCATCCTAATTTACAGCCACCGTGGAAGGTTCCCAGAAGGCAGGGAGCCCTCTGGCACAGGGACAGAGCTGGAGAGCAGGAAACCCTTCCAACTGCAGCGTGGCTAACGCAGAGTACAGAGAGGCGCCCGCCCGCAGGCCTCGCTGGGGGTGGGGGGGCGCAGGTCCAGCCCTTCAGCCTGGCCCACACCAGCTGACACCTGTGGGCCATGTGCTGGCTTCCTTCAAGTGCGCCCTGGTTGTGCACGGGTCTCCCGGCCCCTGTCCCATGTCCTGATCCTTTTCTGAGGGGCAGTGGCTGCCGAGGACTCTCGCTGGGACGGGACTTGGCACCCTGACATGAAGTCCCAACAGTCCCTCCTCGGGTCAGGCCGCCCTCGGCTCACTCTGTGGTGCCCTGCTCGGGCCCCAGGGTGGGATCGCTTTCCTCACGGCACAGGTGCCCGCCCGACCCTATCAGCTGTGGAGAGCTCCACTGGGGACATGACCCCTGCACTGCAGTGGGCACAGCTAGCTCTCCACAGGCCCTAGGTGAATCTGCCTCCTAGAAGTCTGTGGCCCCGGGGGCTGTGTTTTGGCCCAAGGTGCTGTTGTTTGTTTTTATCAATAGCTGCCTGTTTACCCTGCTTCGGGACCAAAAAAACCAGGTCGGAGGTTATTTATAACTCAAAATGACTTTCGGGTGCAGCTTTGGTTGCTTTGTTTCCTGTGAATGCTTCATAATTCGAAACAGACTTGGTGTTCTGCTCGGACCTGCCCGCATCGCTGGGGTCGCCGGGAGGCTGCCCAGTGTAAGGCTGTCCTGTCCCAGCTCCGGTTGGGGGTAGGAACACAGGGACAGGAGCGTCCTCTGAGGCCCTCGGCTCTGGCTGAGGGCTCCCATCTGGTCCCAGGCTGCGCCTGGCTCGCCCAACTCCCCTCGG